GCGGACATCACATTGAAATTGTAAAAGTGAAAGTAGCAGAGAGCAGAATGCCCCTCCCTCTGAGGCCAATCCCTGTCAGCAGCTGGATAAAAACAGATTTAGGCCAAAGGATGCCAGCATGCACTATCTGCATGCCCCGTACATGAACACATGGCAGCAGACTTCAGCCAATCAGTGCTCTGTGGCTTTTTCAGAGACAGTGTTGGGGAAGTTTATCTGGATTGCTGTATCAGCACAGAGAGAGAGAGAGAGAGAGAGAGAGCATATGGAAACAAATGAGAAGTGGTGTATACAGACAAAGGGAACTTGTGTAATGTTTCATTTGTTCTTTATGTCCTTCTGCGCTTGTGCATGTCCAGGATATTGACAGTATAGCACAAGCTGTGCTGCCCATGAGATCGCTGCGAACTTTCTGAAAACCACAGCTTTTCTTTGACCCTGAGTTTTTGTCCCGCAGCTATTACCCCTGTATTTTTCTCAGCTAATTTGAAAGGTTTGAAAGTAGGATTATTAGTAGGATATTAGACTATAGACATAATGCTGACCTCTTTGACAGGTTCTCTCAGTCCAGTGATGGGCATAGGCAGCAACACCAGCTGAGCTTCTTTCACTGCTTTCAGTTACATGGCATACTACTGTGTCTGAAAAGAGAAAGGCTTTTTAAACATATCCAACTCGACAACAGTCTAGATTTGTATAATATGTTTATCCACAGACTGCTCTATATCATAGCTAATCTCAGCCTAAAGATCAGACTTGCTGTGTAAGCACAATGAACTTCCTGTGGTGAACCACGTTCTGCTCTGAGGGAACAAACAGAAGGAGTATGAGGAAGTAGATGACTAGAAGAAACCAGTCAAAAGGCTGTGTGTGGGTCGGGGGTGGGTTTAGGGTGTGTGAGAACATGCAGTTCTCAAATGCTACCCTTCATGAACAGCTGCATAAGCCAAAGAGGAAGTGAGTTCTCTGACATCATGTTATCTACATCTTATGAGGGCAGATTATTTAAAGACAATATATGAGTCATATAGAAAGAACAAGCTGTATCCCTGTTGGGTAACATACACATAATACACAGCATTTTCACAAAATGAAGCCATATAAAGTACAACAGTCTCAATCCTAGTTTTTAATTTCAACTGCCCTGCTGAGATCTGGGGAAATTCCTAATGACACCCACCCGTGCAAAATGGAAACTGAAGACAGAAACAAAAAGTAGACCTTCACTTCTCTGCTCCAGCCAGTGAGAATAAAGTGTGGATTCAATTCAATTTTATTTGTATAGCATCAAATAGCAAAAGTCGTCTCAGGACACTACAAAGTAAGGACTAGACCTTATTATTATGGTGGTATATAGATGGATGGGGGAGAAGGGAGAGGGAGGAGAGAGGAAACACAGATTAATTTGGAAAAACTAAAATGGCATTTCAGGACCCACATTTTCACTTTGATTTTCTGTTCAGAGCATTGGTCATTTTAATTGGAAAACAATGTAAAATGGGATGCTGGGTTGTTTACGATGGCTGTAACCATGACAACCCTGGCTCTGGTCTCTCAGCAAACTCATACAAATGTTTTCTGTCACTGATTCCTGACCAACTGTCCAATAATTTTCCATTAAGAACTGGAATGGTAACCCCTTCAAATCAAAGAATAAACTCTAATTTATCTTCAACTGCACTCTACTGTATCCTCAGCTGTACTCTGGTGTGTGTGTTACTGTACTTAGAGAACTGATCTGAATCAAAACAGAATTTGTATGACCTTAGATAATAGAGATAATATTTTTTCCATTTCCATATAGTTGGCACAATTTTTCAATTGTCAGTGTAGATTTGCACAGGAAAGTGATCATATCTCTCCCATATTAGCTTCTCTCCACTGGCTCCCTGTAAAATCCAGAATAGATTTTATAATCCTTCTCCTAACATACAAAGCCCTTAATGACAAGGCTCCATCATATCTTAAAGACCTCGTAGAGCCTTATCATCCTAACAGAGCACTTGGCTCTCAGAGTGCATGTCTACTTGTGGTTCCTAGAGTCCACAGAAGTAGAATGGGAGACAGAGCCTTTAGCTATCAAGCCCCTCTCCTATGGAACCAACTCCCAGTCCGTCTGTCATTAAAGGGAGTTTTTCCTCCCCACTGTCGCCAAGTGCTTGCTCAAGGGGGATTAGTTTGGTTTTTCCTCTATAATAATAATAATAATAATAATAATAATAATAATAATAATAATAATAATAGTAATGCTTTACAATTGAACTGAACTGAATTGAAATGTCAGTTTGGCTTCTGTTATCGTCATAGTATGAGAACAGCATTAGTGAAAGTCGTACACATGATGGATCAGTTCTCATACTCTATAGGTTTTATGAGAAGCAACTCCTTTTTGTACATCTAAAAGTTATACAGTGTAATTGAACTAATTAGACCAGAAAGGGGAGGGGGGCCACATATGGACAGATATGCACCACCCACAGAACACTGGGGAGGCTCTGCTGGTGGTGAAAAATAACCTGGCATTTACAGTTGAGAAGGCTTCTTGTAAACAGTCACAGTAACTGTGCAGAAAGTGAATCTTACTAGAGTGTGAATGTACACTTTATGTTTCCTGGCATCTATCCTCTGTGGAGCAGGAATTTGATCAGTAAACGTCCTGGCTTCTGAGCACCTTGACAATGCATACTAACTCTCCTCATTGCTGTGAAGCAGCACTCCACCCTACAGCAGTGGAGCTACAGGGCCAAGGAAGCGGTCCCTGCCTCAGATAAACACTGGTAAACAGTTTCCTTATCTGTCTCTCTGGGCAATTACAAGATGTCAGCAGCCCAGAGCAGACAACAGGGAAAGAAATCATGCATTCATTTGCACGTGGCAAAGAACTCTCATTTTCCACACAGTTACTCCAAATCTGTTAAATCTAATTCTAGTCCACCACAAAAATTCAGTCATAGGGGGGTTGTATATGCACCGGAAGCTTCATCTTTGACTTCAGTATATATTTTTAAATACCTGGACATAAAGTCCTTTGCACCTCTTATTTTTTGTTTTTCTTTTCTGAGCACCTGACTTACTGACTGGCCATTTGTAAAGTTTGCTGAAGTTTTGAACAGCAGCGTGACAAACCCAAACAGCAACCCCTGAGGCTGAGAAATGAAGCCAAACCCTGCAGTTCCTCGGACGGCCACTTGAGGCAGGCTCCAAAAGGGAGTCTCCACAGACCCTGGTGTTAAAATGGCCAGCTTTGTTTACAGCCTGGTACAAAAGACGTTGTTTTGGTTTCTTTAGCTAATTTCCCCTTCCATGACAACTGTATGGGGGATGATTTTTTTTTAATAACTTTCCCCTTTAAATTATATTGAGACTAAAAGTTATGCATTAATTAAGGGCGTAGCTGCTTGGAGTGACAGGCAAGAGGGTCCCAACACAGGTGCCTGGCCACTAGCTGTCTAGAGAGCACCACTCACGCTCCGCCTCTTTTCCCATTCTTGGATTAAACTCAGCAGGTGGGGTGAAGTGCTGCCAGTATGGTGACAGCCAGACAAACCGCTCAGGTAACGTCATGGTGGGTCAGTGGACAGACCAAACCATTTTTGCATTATGGAGGGAAAGTACAGTTGTTCTGACCAAAAACCAAAAACAACAAGGTTTTATGTGACTTACAAATACTATATGAAGTTTTCAAAAATGTCTATTCTTAATAAGTTTAACATTATTTAAAGGGGGCCATTTCTGTCCCCTCCAACCAGGGCCCGGGACAACTGAACCAGTGTTCCCCCTGTGTTGGTGATCCTGTCTGTGACATCTATGGGACTCCAAGTATGCACAGTAGTACACAGTTACAGCACATAGCTCTCTCTACACATCCATCTCCCACAGCTCTCTGCAGTATTCTGCCTCCCCTGTGTTACTGCTTATTGATAGAACTCTATCTAAATGGTAGTTTATTTGGCAGAACTTTCCAGGAAATCTGAGCATCATTTTCAGGGTGGATGGGAATTATGGTGGTGGGGGATTGTAGGGAACGATGCAAAGAGTAGCAGGGCTGGGGTAGGTGCTATAGAGATGCTCTTATTTCCTGTTATCTCTCTGCAAGTGAATTTTATTTTGGTAATGCATGGACATTTATGCTAACATTTGTTACTTTGTAACCCCATCCCCTGTAAGATTGGTTGAATTTTCATTTACAAAATCCATCCAAAAGAATCTACAGCATACCTATGTAGAGGCGTATGCATGAAAAATATTTTGATGGTGATATCACACAGATACTGAAGGACAATTTACTCTGTCTCAATCAATTCCAAGCCAGTAACCCAGCCTAAACACTGACAAGTGAACATTCTCTTCACATCTGTTTGTTTTGTTGCCTCAGATTTGAGATCAAACCATCTTTTTAATTCATCATTTGTGCTCCATTCTCCTTATGGTGCTCACTGTACAAGTAGGAGCATCTCGTGCATCTTTTGTGTTTCATTTTATTTCCACTACTGATGCTACTAAATATGGCAGCTCGTTCACTGTTCTCGCCTTCTGAACTACTCAAGGTTTTTTTCGGTTTGGAGTTTGTTGCTCCACCATCTTTAGATTATCTATGTAGCATTCCTGGCTTTCTCAGCTTCTGTTTTCCATGTCTGTGTGACATTCCTGTGTGCACACGGCCTGCAGACTCGAGCCCTTTTCTGTTTTGCTGTCCTGTTTAGTGTTTTGCAACACAAGTTCATCACAGTGCGAATTATGTTTTAGTGAGAATGTGTTTAGAGTTTAGTAAAAAGAGTGCATGAGATTTGCAGTGTCTGCCTAAACTTAAGGTTTTGCAGAAAGAGTGATTTATTCGACAAATTGGTTTAGGCTATTGAGAATTTGGTTCAGAAAATGGGGTTTACTAGCAATTGTGAAAAATTGTAATATGGTTCCCACAGTGAGGTGCTCTCTGCTGAAGGCCACCTGCCTTTTCCATACACCTCACTGGTTCTATAAAGAAAACGGGAAACACTGGATATTTTTCAATGTCTTTTAATAAAAAAACATAACCCATAGGGTTTCATACAAAAAATACTTGTTATAAGTATCAAGGATGCATTGCAAACATACTTTGTCACAAATCAGTCTTTAGCAGTGATTTTCTTAGTGCCCTGGAAGAACAGATGCCATGAACACACCACAGTGGAGATCTCACAGTAAAATGTTGTCTGGGACAACTGCAGATCAGACACAATGATCATCCTCACATATGCACGTTCCACAATGTCACACATACATGTTGCATAGATTATGTTTGGCACATGCAGCCATTCACCAAACTGAGCCTGGAAATCAAATGCAAAGCTCTAACAATTTCAGATTTAGACAGAAAATTCACTCTACACATCACAAACATTGTTCAAATCAAACTAAAACAACAATTCTTGTAAGGCAGCAGCAGACCAAAATGCATCAATCAAAAAGTGCAATAGAGGGAAAAACATTTTTCCAAATAATGCTGCGTGAGATTCTGTTAGCATCCGATGAAGATTATTCTACATGTTGTAATTTTCAAAGGCTATATACATAGTATGTCTGACAAACATCTTTACAGCAACAGAAACTGACTGGACTGAAGTAACAAAGAGATGGTTCCTCTAGTGAAATCCCTGACATACAGGGTCTTACTGGAATGACAAAGAAGCATGAGGCAAACAAAAAACCCCAAAAAAGCAAAGATATAACAGAAGGCTGGGGGGTGACTTGAATATTGCTTGGCCCCAATAACAAAGCCATACAGTGTCTGTAAATGAACAATGAGACCTGACGGTCTGAGCCTCCGGAAGGGACAGCCTATTCAGGAATGTGGCACACCACACATGTTCTGAGGTTTGAACTCCATGTCCATGCCCTGCAGAGCACCAGGAGGAATAATGAGATCAGCGTAGGTGATGAAGTGCAGTGAAGACAGCTGTTAGAACAGATAAGCGTCTCTCTGTCCACCTCCACAGTGCTGACTTTACTTCTTGATCCAACACATCTCATCTGGAGTTTGGACCATCAGCTCCTTTTTGAGCTGGACCACAGTTTGAGATTCCCTGCACTTCAGCAGACTGGCAGCATGCGGGCATTGCCATTGTACTCCTCCTCCACCTGGACAAAATGCTTTTCATTAGAAGATCTATCAACAAAGGTAATTTCTTATTAGCTTGAATTAGTAGGTTAAGACACTTGTTAAAGCATCATACTGAGACAACTACCTCAGTGTAAGTCGGAAGCGGTGGAAACGGGAACGCTGGTGCATTCATGAAGATGGGGCTGTCGTCTCCATCGAAGTCATCCAGGAGCGGTGTGAGGGGCTGGTCTAGGTGACAGTCACGGGTGATGTCACAATAGCTGGGAGGGTCAGAGGGCACCCTGAGGGACACCCAGCTCTGAGAGCTGTTGCTGACCGAACCCTCCTGGCTGCTCACACTGTTGCTGCGGCTGCCCAGACCAGGGGTCCCAATGACCAGAGGCAGCTCCAGAATCAGCTTCTCACTACCAGGGATGTGGACATAGATCTGGCAGAAGGAATGCCAAAACATACATTAAGAATGATTTTCAAAACTGAGAAGTACTGCTCAAAAAACCTGTGTTCCTTGCAGAAGCTGCAGGCTTACCATCAAAGCGTACTCCACACGGATGATGTTGCAACCCAGCATGGATGGTTTGATTTTTGGCACCCTGATGGTCTTGCCCTGCCAGGCATCACACATGCCGGAGATGATGTGGTTTCCACGCACCGAGGACAGCTTCTGGCGGAAGACCTTGGTGCGGCCATTGGCTTGGTAGGTGTGTTTGGCAATGATTGCGGCCTTGGGCACCACAATGCGGGAGCAGGTGTTCTCAAACTTTGCGTTGATGCAGATGTCTTCACCTTCACAAAAGCCACGGCGGTCAATTTTAGCGTTCAGTGACACCTGACCATCAGGGATGAACATGCAGGTGACTTTCTTTTCCTTCATGCCACCTGTGGGAGACTGACAAGATGCAGGGACATAAGATTCAACTCATTTGGAGACTGTCACACTCAAGCAGCACTAGGTCATATTATAAAATAGACATTTAGAGATATGTTTGGCAGTCTTGGTGAGAATATGAAAAGCTGTAAACTTATGTAGATCTTTTGATGTGTCAGTGAACTCACCAGCAGTTCTGGGGTGTTGACATCCAGAGGCTCCTCCACTTCAAATGGTTTCTTGCATTCGAGGGGGTTCTGGTGTGGCCTCTCCATCACGGCCTTCACATAGTACTGGACATAGCCAAACTTCCCCTTGTATGTTGACACCAGCTTCCTGTGAGGACACGGGTGAGGGATGTTTAAACCACATGTGTCATATGAAATACAACTCAAAGAAGTGTCATAAATCCATAGATGACTTCATATTATTTGAGAACTGAGAAGTGCTGCCTTACCCATACTGAGGGAGATCAAATCCAAATATGTATTCATATTTGTTGCCAGGCCTCAAGACAACTGATCCGTCAGAATCTGGAAAGAGAAAATTTTATGTAATTATAGACAGACAGACTTTATTGATCCTGAGGGAAATTCATTCTTCACTTCAATTCTGTTTTATTTGTATAGTGCCAAATCACAACAAAGGTCGTCTCAGGGCACTTTACAAAATCAGGTCTACACTTTACTATTATTATTATTGTTTTTTTTCCTCAACAACTTATTCGCTCATGCTTTAATAGCACGCTTAAAATTCAGCTATAAGTAATAAAAGCTGTATTGGAAAAGACCAATAAGACAATCCCGAGACTAGCTGCGGGCGTGTCCCCGTGTCTGCCCTCACAAAGTGAAACCACGGGCGCCCACTGCTGCCAGTCCTTGTCATTCCCCCAGTTAACCATGTGATTCATAGCAGCCAAACACAAGCAACAGACTAAAGCCACCGACAACACCTCCCATTACAACATATAGGATTGGCTCGCAGTTCATAAACAGACACACACGCAAAGGCAAAGGTATGACTGCCATACTACAGTACTTATAATAACAAAGCTAAATGAGGAGCTAATTGCGTGACACATGGCCATACCTGTAGGCTGGTCGTCCAGTCGCAGTACCGCTTCATACCGAAGGTACTCGGCCTCCTGTCGGCACCGCTGTTTGCCTTTAGCGTACCCCACTTTGGCGTGTCCCAGACCCAGAATCTTTACCGCGGATACACGCGTCACCTCGTTCACTTCCACTTCTATCCGACCGGACACCGTGTCCCCGCCGCAATAGAAAGTCTTGCTAGGGTCCGTAAAAATAATCTGGAATGTTTTCACTCTCTTCGTCATAGCCACCATGACTGCTTATCGCTGATATCCAACGCAAAGATAAAAACGAAACTGTACTAGGTTAAGTCGCGTGTCTGCAGGATTAAACACTAAGAAGCGCGTAACACTCCTGAGTAACAGCAGCGTTCAATCCTCTGCTGTAAACAAAGGCAAAGTGCAGGTTTTATATGACGAGCCCCTGCCAGGCACGAGCATCCAGAATGAACAGCATGGCTCAGCGCGTGCACACTGCTCCCATTGGTGGAAAACCTTTGTTTGTGTCAGCTCTAGCCAATCAGCGCCCGAAGCCGACGCGTGGACACCGCGTGGCCAGGAGAATGTGGGACGTGCTGAGCAAATGTGAACACAGGAAGCTGACGGTAGAGAACAGTACATTTGGTAGTAAACACTGAAACCAGGGGAGGAACATGAGGACCCGTCTGACTGCTGAGGGCTTTCATTATTACATAGTGTTCCTGAAAACCCACAGCCACCTACTATCACCAGAGCTATACATATATAGCACATATAAACTGTGCATACTGTAAAAGAAACACAATAGAGATGCTTGTCAAAAAGTATGTTTAGGTACATCACAGTTCTGTGGATTTTATTAGCCTATTATGTAGATTTAGTGAAATAGTTCTGAATAATACAGAGGAAAAACAGCATGGATGTTGGATACTATATGAGAATCTAGCTGGTAAAGTGTTCAGTACGAATATGAAAGACTAAATTATGATTATGCCAAATATTTATTTACATTATTATCAGAGGTTTGGGCACAGAGACTGACGGGTATTGAAGGAGAGAGGTGGGGAAGGTCCATAACCTGATCTGGACCTAGGGTTGTGGTCAGCACCTTAACCTTCAACATGGGGCACCAGTTGTGGAAAGTAACTAAGTACATTTACTCAAGTACTTGACTAAATACAATTTTGATATCTCTTCTTTACTTGAGTATTTTGATCTTGTGCTACTTCATACTTCAACTTTAGATACAAGTCTTGTCCTTTTACCTCAACTACATTTTACAGCTTCAGTCATGTTACTTTCCAGAACCAGATTAATACACATAGGCATATACACTGGTTAAAACTAGCTCCCCCTTTACAAACTGCAACATCGCAATTGTAATTATCAAATAATATAATTGTTAAATGTACAATTCTGCATGATGAGTACTTTTAGTACTTTGTTTTGATGCTAAGAGTTTTGTACTCTTCATTCCTTACACAACAATCATGTGACCTTCTAGAGCTGCTCCCCTCAGTAGCCTAAGTGAACAACCCTGGATGCCTGCGACACCCAAGACTTCTCCTTCCTAGCTTCAGTTGTTTGTAATGTATGGATGCCTGGTGTCATGTGACCTGCACTAGAAGCCATTTTAGATCCAATATCACATTACTCCCTTCTGTGAACTTTCACCCAGATTTTTTTTAACAGGCCATGTTACCATCATGAGTTTTCCACTAGAAATCATTTAAAGCGGTTTCCATCTAACCCTCAAAGCCAGTCTGAGGATGAATCGCCCTCACGGATGGATTATGGGCTCACTGGGCCCAGGCTGCAGAGCCAGATGTCTGTATGAAGTGACTTCTTGGAAAGTCATCCAAACCACAGAGTAACATATCTAGCACAGACAAGCAAATGGGCACAAACCAACCAGTCAAAACAGCTACAAGCAAGCAAAAGCTGACAGCTTGTTTGTTTGCTGAGAGTGGAGCTGGTTATTCAGCTCAGAAGATAAGGATAAACCCTCGTCTGATGCTGCGCCTTCTGTAATTCACAGAAAATATTTCAGTATGCAGTCACACATTGAGACTTGTGCAATCAAGTTGTGAGGACTAGCCATCTTATCTTGTTTTCTTTACAGAGGAATGAACAGCAGATCATTAAACAATAAGTCAGACCAATGACATTAGTGCATCTTCATCAGTGAGCGATTCTGCTGGCATAGCAACTGACAAAAAGAGCCACGTGGTGTTTCATGCACAAACACAGGCACCTACTGCCAGTTCTGACAGATCATGCATGACAAGATATGCTGGCCACATGGATGGAAAAAGTACTCCTCAAAAGACTTCAAAATAGTGGTATTCCACAGGGGTGGTGTTACTCTATTTAAAACATACTGCTCCCTTGTGGAGGAAGTACATAGCTACAGTTGTAAACACATCAGGTTTGCCTCGTCCCAGGAGCCTGGGACACTTTAGGCTGGAAAGATGTACAAGGGACCTGTACAACTAGGC